ATTGATTATTATTATTATACCTCTACTGAATTTTTCCCTATATAACATTAGATCGCTAGATGTGACTATTTCCCTAGAAATCATTTTAAAAGAATGGACTAATCCCCGTGTGTTAGTCAAGTGAGCTAATCCCCGCTTCGAAAGCTAATTCCCGGTTATCCGTAATCCTCTAGGTTTTACATTAAAATTGGTATTATATGTGAATGGACTAATCCCCGTGTGTTAGTTCATTGACCTAATTCCGGCTTTGAAATCGCGCTATCTGAATCCTCTAAATTTTACGTTTGTATCGGTTTAATGAAACAGTTAAAAGTAAATCATTGAGGCTTCGCCTCGGGAAATAGTCCTGGCCTTGGGGAACTGAAATCTTGCTCAATGATATACCTTAACTGTAAATTGTTGTTTAACACCGAGTTGGCAATATTTCAGCCATATTTAGTGTATATGGCCATTTTTGAAGTTCACAGTTTCTCTGGCCATATTTATATGGATCATTGCCGTGCATTGTCATGCGACATGTTCTGATGGATGACAATATGCACAGTGAGGGTAGGTACACATTGTCGCCGGCGGCAATATGAACAAGACGACAAAATGTACCGTCAAAATCACGCTGCATGAAATAGCATACGAGACACGTCAGTGTGATATACACCCCAATTACATTCACAAAACTACCAGAAAACAACAAAAGAAGTCTTTAAGCAACAATATCTGTGGGGCGACAATATGTACAGTGAGGGTGAGGCACATAATGTCGCCAGCGACAATATGTACATGTGTTACTTTTCAGCCGGCGACAATATTTACCGATGGACGACAATATGTGCAGTGAGGGTAGGTACATACTGTCGCCGACGACAATATGTATAAAAACGACAATATGTACCGTCACAAATGCTCTCCTCGCATTTTGTACTCAATAAATCTTTAACTCCACTTGATTCTGAATCATTAAATTGACCTTAAAAACAGCAATGATTGTATGATGTAATGAGATCAATATATCATCGATTTATTCCCAATGAAGCTCAAGTGAGCATTTTGGCCCTTGATTTGTTATTTTTATTTTGCCCCCTAAAAGTTTCAACTTTAATCCGTTCTAATTCACAAGGGGTCATTATTCTACGGGGGTCATTTTTCTTCACGTAGGGTATGCAGGTTTTTAGGGTTATGACACTTTTTCTACGGGCAAAAGGGTCATTTTTCGACGTCGAATAATGACCGGGGGTCATTTTTCGCCGTTGAATAATGACCGGGGGTCAATATTCGACGTCGAAAAATGACCCCCGGTCATTATTCTATGGGGGTCATTATTCGTCTTTACACAGGCCTTTTCACAAGAATTGCCAAAGTATCCTGGTGCACATACTGCACATATATAGATACACATTTAATACGAAATAAAACTTTGACAAACTTGTAAAAATTGGAAAGATTGTTCCATACTTAGCAGGCTTCAAATGCCATAATACAGTGTCATTGTCCCGCTTCATCTTCACAGTCATGGTTACAGCAGACGACAGATCCTCTGTTAGTTCTAAAAAGTACATCTGATTATATATATCTATAAATGCCAAAATATTAATTTCCTCATCATTTTATCTTGAAATATACACGGTAATATTTTGAAAATTGGGGGGGGGGGGGGGGTTACCATTAGGTATAATGATAAACATAATGATTTGCTATTTAAACAAATATCATCATTTAATCCTTTGCATGTAATTATGATTCAAATTGTAGACATCTATATTCATTGTCTTAAAACCAAATAAAATTCATTACATGGCCGTAGGAACCCCCCAGGAACCCCCCAATAATTTTGCTGATATATAGATTACTATAGGAAACATAGATAGTATATGCTTGTGCCCCCTCAATAAAAACGTCTGATGACCTTTTCTTCTGCTTGTCAGAAAATTTTTGGTAGTGCCCCTTTAACTGTCAACTGAAATTGTATGGCTGTGCCCCCCTCAAACTGAATTTGCTTCCTACGGGCCTGTATTAACTTTGATGTCGTAATGAATATGGTTACTTACCTGTTAATAAAGCATATATAGGTCTTTGAGGATGAATACATAGATAGTAGTGCAAAAATTCCTGAGCCATTTAAAAATAAAGATATATTGTAATATCTAAAAATAAATACTAAACTAGGAAAGACTAGAAAACGAGAGACAATTAGAAGAATAAAAATATTTTTTATTCTGTAAAACAAAGCAGGAAATTACCAAATTTAGAATTACCAGAACAAATAACTTGTTGAATCCATTTCCACAGGGAAAAATATCCTATATCAAGGGAGAATAAAAGGTAATCTTCAATTGCACCATTTTCCGACGAGAAAGGTTTTACCTCCTACAGTAATTAAACAAATTATTTTGAACCACTAGTATTAATTAAATACAATACTTTAAGCGTATTACATTTGGTTGTGTATTCTTTTTAGCGCCTCTAGCGGAAAGCAACTTCCACTAATTCAAGTACAACGTTAAAGGTCTTGCACATGTACACATAAATAAGAACATTAAGAAATGTGCTAAATCAAATCTTCGCCTACTTGTTTAAAATACAATTTCCGTCAAATATTGTAACGCTAAATATATTACATTTACAGTATTTTATATACTTCTTTCAATGAATTGCCTTATTTTCTTGTACATGTATAAACCACTGAACTGTTGGAATATTTGTTAACAGAAAGATTTGATGCTCTGATGTTTTCTGTATTTGTTTTATAATTCCTTTAGACAAGAATTGAAATTGCAAAAATGAAAGGAAAAATCTGTAAAAGATTGATATTAAATTGTACCGGCCCTCCCCCCTCCCGCCCCCAATAATTTTGCCGATATATAGAATACTGTAGAAAACATAGGTATTATATACTTGTGCTCCCTCAATAATGACGTCTGAGAACCTCTTTTTTTCTTTTTTTCTTTTTTTTTTTTTTTTTTTCGGCTTGTCAAGGAATTTTTGGTAGTTGGTAGTGCCCCCCCCCAACTGAAAATGTATGGTTGTGCCCGCCCCTAAACTGAAATTGCTTCCTAGGGACCTGACATGTAAATAATAAAAGATTTTAACTTACTTTCGTGTGATTCAAAACGTGGGATTTCCAAGTTAAGGATAAAATTATTTACTTTGGTATTAACCTAATCCGTTTACACAGAATTTAAGGAATACGAAAATGCAACATTTGTAGTGTATTGTTTTATTGTCTAGGTTTCTATGCTAAACTTACAACATCTCACACAAAAATTCGAGATTAAAAAAAGCAATGAATGATCGAATGTAAAACAGACGTAAATCAGACATATTTTACAGATTTAAATGGTAAATATTATATTATATCTGTATAATGGACAATAATTCATTGTCACTTAAGATTAAAAAGTTACCATGAAACTATTTCAAATTCCAAAGAAATGTTTAATTCTTATATATATATATATATATATATATATATATATATATATATATATATATATATATATATATATATATATATATATATATATGATTGCTGTAGTAAAATTTAGAAATTTATTTCAAAATTAAGGACCGTTCACGGTAGCTCAGTCGGTAGAGCGCTCGCTCCGTGATCGGGAGGTCGTGAGTTCGAATCTCGGCCGGGACTGACCTAAGTCGATAAAAAATGGGTAGCAACTGTTTCTTCGCCATGCACTTTGAAGTGAAATTTGCGGATCTTTCGGATGAGACCTTAAAAACCGAGGTCCCGTGTCACGGCAGGCGTTGGCAAGATAAAGATCCCTCACTGCTCAATGGCCCTGATTGCCGAGTAAAGGTCAAAATTTGAAGCCCTTCACCAGTATTTGGTGACGTCTCTATATGAGTGAAAAATTCTCGAATGGGACGTGAAACGATATACAATTGATCAATCAAAATTAAAGATTATCTCCCTCACGCATAACTCTGACCCTTCGACGTATTTGGCTCCAGTCTTTGGCACCCCCTTTTTCAGCTCTTCAAAGTATTTTTTATTATTATTTAAATATTTCGGATTTCCAACGATTCAGCATGAGCATCTGAGTCACTGAAGAGTCATAATTTGTCGAAATGGTGCATCAAAATTGTTCCGTTTAAGATTTACATCCAAAGATAGACAGTAATGTCGAGGTGATATTTTGGCAATAAAAATTTGCTGAATCACGCTTTTCCAAATAATGAAAAAAAAATGTTAAAATACAACAATATATAATATTTTCCTTTACAGTGAGTGGGGCTTGTATGAGTTGATTGGATTAAGGTATGTATCGTTCAAGCGTTGACCAGGTTTGTCATTAAAATCTAAACTTTCTAAAGAAGAGAATTGAAGTCTAACAGTATCTTTAAGACAAAATTTGTCTCCATCGCTTGGTGATTCGATAATGTCTATATATGTATGGGGTTGTTTATTACTTGCTATTTTCCCCACTGGTTCAATGTATGGGTCTTTAGATTGTAATTTATTGTCATTTTCCTCTGAAGACAAAGGCACAATATAAGTATTGTTTTCCACAGGTTCAGCATAAGCTGTTTGGGTACTTTCCTTCTCGGTGAGGACTATCATTGGTGAAGTCAGATTAATCACCTCTAAGCATTGATCCAGCTCCTGGTAATGAGAATCCTGTGGTTCATTTGTAATGTCATTCGTACTTCCACTTAGTTCATGGTATTTCTCTCTCTCACTATCTCTCAAACTCGATTTACTTATCTTTGATTTGTCGAGACTGGTTTCAATATCTGAGTGTCTTTCAGTTATCTTGTTTTTCGTGGATATTTGACGTTTCTTTGATTTCGATTTAAAGCACCTCTGAATAATAATCACAATCAATAAAAGAGATATTAATCCTCCGATGCCGATTAAAATCGTATTAGAATTCAAAGTAATTTGCAATGGAGAGGTTTCTGTGACGATAGTAACTGGAATATGTGTGCTCTTCATTAGATGCGTATCTGTAATTATAGTGGCATATTCCTGACTTTCAGTTGATGATATCTGACTGGATAAGTGATTTACCGTACTCGTTGGAGGTGTGTCTTCTTTTTTAGATGTATATTCTATTTCTGTTGTGATTGCTACAGTTGTCTTAGAAGCCTCTGTTGTGACTGCATTAATATAACCAAATACATTCTTATTTCATATCATAAAGCTATGATTGCAGAATGATTAAATCAAGAACTAGTGCTCAGCCAAAATATTTACATTTACCCCACCTCTGACGATGAAATCCTGGCTTACGATTGTTGACGTCTGTCACGTGAAGGGAGTGTAATACTTATATACGGTCGTTTGAAAATCAATACACTGTCAATACTGAGTTATCATTCTTTTTTAACACTTGGAAAAATACAGCTCAAGTTATTAAATATTTTTAAGGAGGGAGTCTTGTCTGGTTTCTGTTTAATTGAAATATTCAAAGTACATTTTTTTCTTATGCGTCTTATAGAATTAGATGAAAGGGATTTAAAGGATCACATTTTTTTCTGTTTTTCTCATAATTGTACAACTTAAAATAGAAATTTTAAACCGAGATTGAAATCTAGCAGGAAGTATATATTTTGCAGAACCGCAGCGTATGATAATATCTCGTTTTCTGCTTCTCAAAATTACTACAGAACAATGAATTTAGTTAATTTTTTCAAACAATCATAGACTTAGAGACATTTTCTGAAGTAACTGAAATTAATAACTATGGACTCAAGTTTTAAAATATATCAAATAAATATAATTTTCCAAACAATTTGAAATCTTGTTGGCTTTTGAAAGCTTCAAATCTAAGAACTCTCACATTAAACGGTATCATCTAGTATTTTTATATTACTAGTACTTCATCGTATGTGAAAATAATAAAAACTGAAATATACAAAGCATAAACCTTATATTCCCTTAAAATTTAAGAAAAATAGAGGAAATTTGGGTTAACCAATATCTATTTTATTCTTCCGAAGGACCCTATAAGGTAACATCTTTTTATATACAAAGAAAAACACTAAATCTTTTCAAATAGAGGTAGGCGTTTTAATGTCAAGGAAAAAGATAATAAACTTGCCCTTGATCTGAAAATAAAACGGTCAAATTTAGTCTTATTGATACAATCATTTATTGACCTTGTCTCATTGAATCTGAGAAAAATTCATAATTTTTTATATACAATGAATATGAGAAGATTGTCAATAGACTCAATAGACTCGAGGCTTGACAATTAAAAAGTTAACTTACGTCAACTGGTAATGGGCACACATTGTGGAACTTTTCTCTCTTTACAAAACAATATACGTAATACAACGTGACGTCATCATAGGTAATGTACGGGAGTGATGAAACAAAACGAAATATGTCATCGGTGGAGTAGATTCGTCAATTAGTTTTATAGTGACCTGGCATGGGATGATACGTGGTTAGTAAATTTCATACCTGGCTCGTCGTCGTCTCGCCAGGTATAAAGTATCAGCCCGTTCCCGGTCACTACAAAACTATGTAACTATTAATACCAAATCATACCCTGACTTTCACAACCATATCTGAAGTCGCACTTGTCAAAATCACAAATACACTCTGAGGTGCAGGAACTACCATAGAATCCCGCTGGACATGTCTTGTTGCAGTTGTACCCATAGTAACCATCAAAACAAGCTAGAAACGGTCATAAATTGTCATATGAATTAAATGTAATTGACTGGCATCAAATGATATCAAATTGTAATATCATTACACGCTCGAGCTCAGATACATTCTTTCAATAAATGAAAAAATAGTGCACAATGTTAAATAATTATTTTACAAAAGCTGTTCTCCACGTCCTAAAATGTCCATTAATTTGAATATTTTTTATTTTAATTAGCTAAAATAAAAAGTTTTAATTGATTATAGTTATCCACTTACGCAAACATTTTCTCTCTTTTTGTGAATAAAAATAGTTCGAACAGCAAGCCACTTTGTAGTTGGTGTCTGCACTAAAGTAATAAACTATATGCATTTAGAAAATTATACATGTATATGCATATAAAGGATGATTTAATTGTGTCTAATGAAATAGGATTTGATTTAGAAGCTTTTCAATACAAATAACTTTGATCTTAGAAATTATTTCTGCAGAATGTGTTTGATTTAGAAGTTTAATGACAACCTGGATGTTGATTCTACAATCAAAGACCAGTGTGTGTGTGTGTGTGTGTGTGTGTTTTAGATCCATCAGAATATTACTTACTTGTTACACAGGAAAGTTTCCGTCATGATGCGCTCTGCTCAGAATTTCCCTATTTTCCATGATGATATATACAGGAAGTGAGAATTCACAGTTCAATTTAAGTTTACAGAGTTCAAAACATTTTTGCACAACGTAGCTCATGTCCTTATGAAGAAACAGTCATGCTTATCTGTTAAATGATCAAGCTCGAAAACAATTTTTAAAAGCATAAAATAACTACACGTATATGATTGGTTTGAAATGAAAAGATGTCCAGCGTGTTTGCTTATTTGCTTGAAATTCATATTGTAATTCTTCGTTTCTTATCGGTCTTCTATTTCCAAATCATAACTTTCATTTCAAGATTCCTCACGAAGCAAATAAAATGAAAATTATTCAAAACTATTTTTCTCTTTATTATTAATTCAAGATATTTATTAAAGTTCCTTAATTCATTCTTGAATTACTTCTTAATTTTTAATTCTTCAACCAAGGAGAGTTCGATCTACCCTACCTGTACTGGATTCCTTAACTTCATAACAAACCTTACAAACAAAGATACATTCCTGGGTCCAGCATTGACGCCTTTGAGTCAGACATTGAAAAACTTCTTTCCATGCCGGACAAGGAGCCCGACAATTTAAGCAAGGAAGAGAGATCCGCCTTACAATCATTAAAGAATCGGGATGACATTGTAATCAAGAAAGCAGATAAAGGCTCTACAGTAGTAGTACACGTACTTGATAAAGAGACGTACATGGCGGAGGCCCACAGACAACTCTCAGACGAGCGTTTCTATAAGAAACTGGACTCTGACCCTACTATAGAATTCTCCACCGCTATCACCAAAACTCTTGACGAAATGTTTGAAAATAACGAGATGGGTATAAACGTCTATGAGACACTTAATCCTACTGACTGTAGACCAGACCCCGAGATCATGAAACATCTTAAGCTGAAGTCAAAATCTTTATGTAGTACTAAATTATTGTAGAAGTCAAGCAAAACAAAATCAAAATATTTTTCAATTTTGGTTTACAAAAGTGTTGTTATCTGTAAATTTAGAGATTAATTCAATCATGAATAAAAATTTCAAAAGCGATTGAAAATTTGACTTAAGTCTAAGTCTGTTTCATGTTCCTGGGGCCAGGGCAATTTTACCTGCTTCCTAAGATACATAAAGAAGGAACGCCAGATCGCCCTATAGTAAGCACAATCGGACACCCCACGGAGAAAATTTCTGAATACATTGATTTGCATCTCCGTCCACATGTAGAAATATTGCAATCCTATCAACACTTTATAAAACCATTCCCCACCATGAATTAAAGTCCAGGCTTTTAGACATCATAGACAGCTGCTTTTTCAATAAAAATTGAACTCGTATGTATACTTACTTTGTCATTGGTCATTTGCAACATTATTTTGTTAAAAACAATGCATGTGCCTTTTGATTGTATGCACAAGTACTCTTAAGTTGATATAAAAAATGCTTGAGTTTCTGATTGAAAGTATATATGTAGTTTTTGGAGATCAGGTCTTCCAACATTCTGTTGGAATCCCCAAGGGTGACCAATTGCACCCCGTTATTAGCAGACCTATTTTTGTATTCATATGAAGCAGAGCTTATTCAAAAACTTGTTCATGAGAAGAAAACACTTGCTGTGGCATTCAACTCGACATGTAGATAATACGGCGTTGATATGCAATTGATCAATGTTGACATGTAAGAAACATACTAGTATGCAACTGCATTTCGGAATGAAAAATGGAGATAAAGAACAGTATCCAAGTTCATAGTTCATTTAAACAATACAAATTGGGAGCAGAGCAAACGCAGACATCCAAAAACATCAGATGCGAGATAAAGTGCCATGGAGTAGTGAGCATCCCCTGTCGACCGGGGACGCTCACCGTATACTACTTGTCATGATCGGGTAAACGAAAAAAATCCGTAGAAATCTCAGCGTGTAAACAATGGCTTCACAATTAGTATGAAAAATGTCAGTCACTATTTGACCTAATGATAGATTGTATTTGCTGATAAGGTTATTGTATCGACCATATAACTTGCGAAATGATGACTTTAAACCCGACTGTTGATATCCTTGTTCCATAAACTTGTTGATTAATAGCTTGCCTCGGTTTAAAATTTGATTGTAGGTAGAACATGCTCTTGCGTATGGAATCAACCGGGAGACATAAAGCCCATATGCAGGTGATAAGGGTATATTGCTACATAAATAAGGAAAGTTGACGATATAAAAGTTTAGGTCGTCACGTTTATCATAAAGTTTTGTTGTTAGGTTATTATTAATGTCTTTTACTAGTAAAATATCCAAATATGAAACAGATATTTCAGATTCTGTGGAATCTTTTATTTCAAGTTCATTGGGTTACGTAAAGACGACAAATGAATGGAAGTAACTATTGTTAATTGATGATAAGAGAAACTAACGATAGAAAAGGTGAGGTCATCACAATCATAAGGTTTAGTTGTGAGTTTGCCATCAATGTAACTTCGTTATAGCTTTCACTGTTATCTATCTGCGCATTCATTTAGATACCGTCAGTAGAAAATAACCCAAAATCAGATAGACTGAACAAATATATAATCAAACAGAAGAATCTTTAGATGTAAACACTTGGACTTCCGGTCCAAGGACTATCATTCATGATAATAATACGTACGAGCCTGTTGAGGCGTGTTGTCGTGCATTTTTGCATCTGCAATTCTCCATCACCTTTATTTTCAGATTTTCCAGCTAGAGCATTTGAAATGCATACTTAAGTCATTTTCGGGAACCCTTGGCATCTCTTCCGGAAACGAAAGAAGAATTCATTTTGCAGAATATTGCTGCATTACTTATGATAAACAGATACAAACCCTTAAAACTCCACATTTTTGTCAAATGTTTTGTTAAACATGCAACTTTTGATTTCTGTTAAGCGGGTTCAAACTTAACTTCCGGTTATGGCATGAAAATCATTCAACCGTTAAATTATCGATACTTACAAAGTTGAAGATATCCATTTTAGGCGCCAATCATAATTTTTAGGCGCCGTGGCGACTAAATTAGTCGCCAATTAGAGCCCTGCGTGACGGTACCAATTTTATTTGCACCAGATGCGAATTTCAACAAATAATGTAGATGTATTACTGAATAAAGTTTTAATATTAATATAGGATAAATTAAATCAATTACTGTTGAAATTCTTGATTTTTTTAATGAAATTTCTTAGAATTTTATTTCTACTTATTTGTCCACGTTACATGCATTGATCATGCTGTTACCACATCTGTGATGTCCATACATTACTTGAGATATTTTCTTGCTTCATGTTTCTTATTAGCGTTAGTTTTCTTTAAAAACTTAAAAATGAAAAAAATAATGAAAAGTGCGTTTAAGTATGTCAACTGTTCAACAGAAAATTATGATCGAAATTTCCGTGAAAATAAAAACAACAATTCAGTTAAACCATTCATTACTGTACAAGTAATATAAGATTTTTGTTTTATTGTCTTGTTCGATGCAAAACTAGCGGGTTCTTTTCTTTGATAACTGGCCATCTACTGACATGCGTGATTTTTTAAATGAAAAACCAAAAATAAAGGGATTGTTATTTTTTGTGCGCTTTTAACTATAGAGATTTGAATTTACTTTTATAATATAAACTCCAAATCCATTTGAACTGGAGGCTTTTATCGAAGAAAGTGTTCATTTCCGTGCTATAAAATATTTAGACCAATCAACAATAGGGTTACTCCTCCTATTCATCGTCATTTTTCGTCTTTCTGTTGTAACTGTTGTTCATTAAGCATTTTTGGACTCGTGCGCCTGTTACATCCTACACAAAGTTGGCATACCTACAAATGGTTAACCTGAGCATAAACATGTATAAGGGGCAATCAGGATAAAAGAGCTAGGTTCACTTTATGCATAAAATGGCCCTGTAGATAAACCAATTTATCCATTAACAAACTATGTCCCTTTCTCAACATCAATATAAAGTAGAGACTTGGCGCTTTCAGTTTGTATATAAAAGTTTCCTCTAAAGAGTCCAGGTACTCGAAAACAGGATGTGTGAAATTGCGATGTTCTTGAATTTTGCAGAAAACAGGTGAATTTGAGAACCTTCAACAAAGAATTAAAATATAAGCACACCCCTCGATCCAAAAATTAAAATATATTTTATAATCTTAATAAGCAGTTCTTTAGTAATATATTTGCAAATTTTGGATCGGAGGTTGTGCTGTATACGAAATATTGAAAAATAGCATCATATTTTGGCCATTTTTGAAGAAATATTCGGGATATGTGATTAATGACGTAATTCATGACGTCATAATGCATTGACTATCAAGAAAATTACGTCATTTTTAGTAGAAATTCAGTCACCAAGTGTTCAAGTGATATTTATTGCCTTGTCGACTAAAACTATGCAGTTTTAATTTTTCAGAAATTTAGAGGGCCAAAAAAGGCCCTAAGTGGCCCTTGCTCTTTATGCATGTTTGACCTCTTCCAAGGTTAGATGTTTTCTAAATAATGATGGTGAGCAGCATTCTGGCTCTAAATATTAAGCAAGCGTTGATTTCTATACTTCACAGGGTAAATGCTTTGGATTTCTTAAAGGTGAGATATTAAGTTATTGTAAAAACAGTGAACTTTAAAATTGTTATTTGCTATGAAGTGAACTTTGAACTTTGATGATGTTTAATCTCTGAACTTTAATAATGATATTTGATTTTGATCATGACCATTTA